CGACATACACATACACATGGTATGTGCATGTCCAAATGTTTGTGCATGTACATGCACCTAGACACATGTGTTTATGTGTTTATGTGCGTGTGTGCGTGTGTGTGTGTGTGTGTGTCTGCTGGATACATGTATTCTAATCCAACGAGTGTATGGTGCTCCCTACAAATCTCTTAATCATGGAGCTATGGATTTGGTGCTAGCACCTTTGAATGCAAGCTAAGGTCGGTTATGATGGATGGAGAGCTGTACTTGCACTACTGCACTCACAGAGTGCACTATTAAAAAAACCTGGCATATGTAATCCTGTTTGTGGCCAGCCGTGTACACGCATGACGATGGATGACATATGTACACATATACATGCATACACATATGCTGTATTGCACTTTATTTGCAGTCCCTCACTTGTTTGCTTGTCTCCCTGCTGTGTGCGTGTGCCTTTGCATCTATTTGCACAGGACAGAGCACTTTAAAGTTCACTACACCATAGCATTCATTCCTTCCTGCCTGGGTGTTATTGGCATGCAACAATGCACCTAATACCCAGGACATACACTTGGACCTGCAACCAGCACACACGCGCTTCGGGCATGTGGGACAACAAATTCGAAGTAGGTATGGAGGATCGCGCACATGCATGGGGGCGTGCATGCACTAATGAAGGCAGTGAGATGCCTGTGGTTCACCGTAGAATGCTTCAAAACATGCGAGTCACTGCTGCACCAGCCGAGAATCGAACTCGGGTCTGGTCCGTGGCAAGGACCTATGCTACCACTATACCACTGGTGCTCTGTAAGACACGGGAGCTGCTCGAGTCAACACCACTGCACACAACTATATCAAGAGTTACACACATGCAGACATACAATGTGCACAGAATCACGTGTTCTATATACCTAGGTATATGGGTATGCCTCTCTGGTGCCCGTAATAGGTTTGTCTGAGGGAGCACCAATGGTGTCGTGGTTGCATATATGGGTCCTTTGCCGCAGACTAGACTCGAGTTTATCCTCGACTGGTGCACAAAAACATGCATGTTTTGTAGCATTGTACGGTGGGCCGCTGGCTTCTCAGCATTGCCTTGATTATTGGATGTGCTCTATCCACCTAGGTTGTTGTTCCATATGCCTGAAGCACATTTGTGTTGGTAGCAGGTCCAGGTGCATGTCCGAGGTAAATGTGTGCTTTGGCCAATTGCCAATAACACCCAGGCAGGAAGGGATGAATGCTCTGGCATATTGAACTGTAAAGTGCTCTGTCCTGCGCCATAATAGACGCAAAGACATAAGTACACAGCAGGGAGATGGGTGAATGAGTGAAGATTGCCAACCTGTATTAGGGCATGGTTAGCACCCATAAATATTGAGAATAAGATCCTTGCCCCAACAACCGCCCAGCCATGCCTAAATACCTGTGTGCCCAGCAAAACATGCCCATGGCCCCATGCATGCCTAGGTGATGTACACGTGATTGTGGGATGGGCTGTGCCCACTCACTCCTCACATGCCTGGCAGCCAGAATGAGGTGTTGGGTGTTTTTCATGTGCTATGGCAGTGGTCGTGTGGCTTAATGGATAATTATAAGGCATCGTCCTCCAGTTTTATGTCCAGGATGGAGATTGTGGGTTTCAGTCCCTAACTTCCCCCATGTTTTGGTGAACCCTCATCCATTGCATCCACGCCAGCTTCTGCAAAGTCAGTGGCTNTGCGGGATTGGGCGGCCACCATCAGAATCCAATAGAATCTGCCAGATCAACCACAAGCATCAAGTCTACTCCTTACCGGCTCCACAGATCACTCACTATAACCAGATGCAGCTGCTGTGGGTGGGAGGCCCGAAGCTGGTGGTCTACTGGCCATGGGGAGCATGCCTGTGAGGAGGGAGTCACAGCAGTGTGAAGGAGTGTGAAGTCCGTGTGAAGTCGGTGTCCCCACAAAACCCTAAAACCCTAATTGCATGTAGTACATAAGAGTGCCACAGCCGGTTTGCACAGTCTCAGGACCCTCGCCCGCTTACCAGCATATGCAAGCAACACTTGATGGCACTGAATGCGTGCCTAGGCATGAAGGACCACTAAGGCATGGAAATCCTTGTACATTCTTTCTTCCCTAAAATAGTGAATCCCTGTCGACTACCTATACGTGCCAACCTCGTACATATAATGTAGTACATACAAGGTTAACATAACATATATATAGATAGATGTATATATATATATATACATAACATACTAACATAAATAACAGTACTCATGGGTATGGGTAGGTGGGCAAACAGAGTGGTGGAAGTTGTGTGCAGCACCAATCCCAATGGCATTGTGATGTGTTAATGTTAACTTACATCTGGACATTTTCTGCCCGGTTTGCTCAGTCGGTAGAGCGCAAAGCTCTTAACCTTGTGGTCGTGGGTTCGAGCCCCACATTGGGCGAGAATGTCCCGTATGTGTGTGAAAGGGGGGGATCATCAGT